CCCACTGTCCCCTCCACCCCCACCTCCACACCCACTAGCCAGCGAATCCATACCACCCCAGCCTCGGGGACCAGAGGACCGGCCCTCCTGCTACCCTGCAAAGTCCTTGAGAAAACCCCACTGCGCATCCAGGTGGGGGGAGGGGGTTGGCATTGGATGCCACCCATCCTTGCCCCCAGATCAGATGGTCCTTGGAGTCAGGAGGGTGCGGACTCAGAGGGGGCCTCCCCAGGCTCCCAGTGACCCCTGAGAGCACCTCTCTGACCTGGGCCCAATCCTTGCTCAGTGCACATGCACGTGAGCACCTGCATCATTCTCACCCCCTCCCTGAGCTGGTGTTACAATCATGTCACGGGGGGAGGGGGGGCAGGGGGGGCGAGGCTCAGAGGAGCCACGGGCCTGGCCCAGAGCCTCATGACCTCCAGGGGTCAGACTCGGGTCTCGTGGGCAGCTGAGCGCAGCCGCCTGTCCCGTCTCCCCGGCTCGCCCTCCCAGACGCTGCTCCCCTCAACCACTTGGACCTCCAGCCTGGCGTCCCCACGAGTGTCAAAGCTAAAGGACCAGGACGGACCCGCGAACCCCACCACTTCACTGTAGAGACGGAACCATCACGGCCCCAGACGGAGGAGACTTGGCTGAGCCGACCCGGTTCCGGCTGGGCCGATGGAGACCCTCTCCACCCAGGCCGGCTCCCGGCCCTGCAGGCGCACCACGACCCTGCTTGTCCCCCAGACGCGGGGTCGGCCTGCGTTTTAAAGGCCGCTGGCCGTGCTTTGTCTGCGGTTTGAGGAAAGCCCGCGGAGGTGGTTTGGAGAGAGGGTTTGGACGTGAAACAGCCACCTGCTGGGCTCTATGCCCGCCTTTTGCCCGGATTGTGAACGTGAGCTGCAGCCGCCGCCAGGTCTCCTGCCTGGACCCCACTGTGGATCTTCACGAGCCAGAGCTAACCAGCCTGGCTGCTATTTCTCCTGGTAAAAGCTGGTCCAGGACACACTGCTGGGGCAAGCGAGGATCTCCGTTCTGCCTGAACAGCTTTTTCTAACCATTGCAACGAGGCCCTCAGTCTCCGCTTCCCTTGGGCAGCCCACCCCTAAATGACTGCATAACCTCACCCTTACAGGCCCTGCCACCCCAAACGCTGGCCATAGAGCCCAGCAGTATTTAATGGTCCTGGGAAAAGTACAATAGCCCTGGCCAGTTTGCTCAGTGGATAGAGCTCGGCCTGTGGACCGAAGGCCCCGGGGATCCATTCTGGTCCAGGGCATGTACCTCGGTTGCAGGCTCCTCCCCGGCCCGGGCCCTGGTCGGGGCTTGTGCAGGAGGCAACCAATCGATGTGTCTCTCACATGGATGTTTCTCCGTCTTTCCCTCTCTCTTCCCTGCTCTCTAAAAATCAATGGGAAAATATCCTCAGGCAAGGATTAGCCAAAAAAAATGTTTAAGTACAATAAAACGTAAAACCCTTGCCATGCATAAGTAAATAAATAAACGTGTGTCCCTGGCTTTCTTCCC